GCGTGTAAGGAGCCTGGCCGAAGAAACAGGTGTGCCCCTTCTTGAACCCAGTTTGATGGCTCCTGCAACATATCTGCCACCATGGCAGTAGGAGCTTATAGACTGTGATGTCTCTTTTGTTGATGTCACAAAGCACGCACCACTTGCACACATACATACATACATACTTCCTAGAACTACAACATAAATACACATGCCCTGAGTTCTTTACCGATGCGTCAAAGTCAAACACTTCTGTGTCATATGCAGCGGTAGGCCAATCCTTTTCCGAGGCCGGCGTTCTTCATCCGAATGCAATCATTTTCACAGGAGAAGCTTACGCAATACTGGCGGTCGTAAAACACATTAAACAGATAAAATTACGAAAGGCGATAATATACACAGATTCCCTAAGCGTGGTCAAAGCCCTGAAAACTCCTAAAAAATACAAGAACCCCGTGCTGGTGTCACTTTACTCACTTCTGTGCACACTCTACACATCAAAACAGCATGTCGTTGTCTGCTGGGTTCCAGGGCACCGTGAAATACAAGGGAACGTTTTGGCCGACAATCTGGCTGCTTGCGCCAATGTCACTACTGCCAATGCATCAACACCAGTCCCTGCACTTGACATAAAATCTTTTATAAAACGAAAGCTCAGGAGGTATTGGCAGAGCATGTGGGATAAACACACAGATAATAAACTCCATTCTATTAAGCCGCAACTAGGTTATTGGCCGCCACTATCGAAATCACGACACAGAGAAGTAATACTAAGAAGGCTTAGAACAGGACATACACATTCTACACATTCATTTCTTCTGTCTACTGGTGATCCACCATATTGTGAGAGATGTGGAGAGCCCCTTACGGTTCTCCACATTCTCGTCCAGTGCAATGAGCTAGATGCTCTAAAAAAAAAGCACTTTTTACTGCCCTACCGACAGCAGCTCCATGTACACCCTGGGATGCTCATCGGTAGGGATCCGCTTTTTAAACTGCAAACACTTTTTACGTTTTTAAAAGATGTGCAAAGCTTTCATCCGATATTTCGAGGTCATCCGTAGCACGACCTCTACAGAGTGGTCGTGGCTGCGGTGACTACATCTTCATCATGGTTTTATTATCATGACATTTTGCCATCCGCTATCACTACACATATGTCACGCCACTGTCATGATTTTATTACTTTCATGTTTTAACCTGCGTTTGAGCGAGGAATTTTAAGGCCCCTTTACAGCCACGCACCATATCATTATTCATATCTGTAGTCAATTGAAATGGCGCTCTTTGGCCATCAATTGGCCCTTGCGCCACTAAAAACTACTCATCATCATCATCAAACATCAAATGAGAACAGCAGTTCAACACTGAAACAGAAATTACAGTTGATAGGCTGATGACACAACTCATAATAAATGTTATACAAACCTATAAATAGTACTCGCCAATATACGTACTGAAAAGCCCTAAAGTAAGCAAGGTAAAATTTCATTCGAGTGACAATACATAAGTTGATGGACAGAATACAATAAATAGTGGAAACAGTCCCAGGATGGATCCCTGCCGGCAACACGTAGCTTTTTTGTCAACTATCATTCTTCTGGTTTAACATCATAATTACTGCCATGCAGATAAATCACTAGTGATAGTGTCCTCTATACATTACTATGCTTCATTGTTTCCTAAATATTGTGACTATATATGTCCATATTTCTCATGCAGATTTATTTCAGCTACAAATAAAAATGTTAGATGTTCACTCAGAAAATGTTACTTCGGTTTCCAGACTGATGTTTCGTTACTATTTGCAAAATTTAAAAGCCTCGACTCATTCATCACTGTATGCAATGTCATACTGATGTTATAAGAGTGAGTCACAAAAATAGTTGTCATGTGCAAGATATGAACAAAGTTAATACGGGTGCACATTAATGAGATTAGGGAAGTTTCATGTGAATCATCATTTTTAACCTATTTTATTATCTCAAGAGTACAAAGTCATCTATCAATGATCTCGGACTTGCACCAGTATGTGTGAGCCCATTTTATTTACTTCTTCAGCTTTTCCGATTCTGTCACATTAGCTAGCCCTATGGCCCTTACAGCTACATTTCCCGCTCTTCGGTATCCATTTCATCACTCTAAAAGGCCAACACTTTTATGTTCATCACATTACATAGTGTGCTGCAGTTCACCTCTTTCTGCGCAGTGCCAGCTACCCATACTTGTTCTTTAATCTATGCTGCTACCTCTCTTTGGGTCAGTGTCAAGCACCAAAATAAGATCAGTGCTTTCTTTGTTCAATTTGGATATATTTTCAGTTATGCTATACCTTAAAAGGCCACTTTCAGTTTTCATAGTTACGTATGAACACAGTCTGAGATTGGACTATTTTCGTATGGTGGTGGGGAACAGCAACCCGGATGTACTATCAGGAGCTTTGTCGTCTCTGCTGTAATTTGTACATGGTGTACATAAACAATGATGAGTGAATCATCGTTGAGTTCTTTGACTCAGGGAAATATGTTGATTCTCCATTATAATTCGTATTATGGAGGGGTTGTCTCATAGATGCCGCATGGTGAAAGCTTTCAACTCAAACTAATATGCGTTCTATATGTTTGTTGACTTCGCTGTGTGGCGAGCATTCACACTGCATGCCAGGTAATTGAAAAATATCTCTCTTTGCCTCCATATTGTGCCAGTCAGTACTCCTTCGAAGTTATGTGGCAGTTTTTTTATTCACAGTTTTGCATGACCAAAAGTCCTTTTACATGTTCGAAACAACGAATGCGCGAGCTTATGACCTTCAGTTTCATGTGGTGACATACAATGCCTCTATTTCAAACTTTGAATATGAAGTTAGAGCACTGTACTTGTCTGTGGCTTTAACACACACATAAAGGTGCTCATCAAAACGTGCAGTCTCAGGCTGTTTAGCGATAACTAGCAGCATTATGTTCGCATAAAATATTCGAGACACAAGCAAGAATTCTGGCAGTCCATATTCTGGAACACATTTGACTAGGTGGTCAAAAGTGTCCCGCACTGTATGTCCTGTCATATACAATCACAGATTTCGCAACTACTGCGTTTCTGCAAAAAAAAAGGTTATTCGAAGTACTGAAATCTGTAAAACAGCAAGAAAGGTTCTCATACAATATGCACCGCGCCCCTGTATTACGAGGAGTTGATTTGTCATCCCTTGTGGTGAACAAAAAACACTGCGGAAAGTGGTGCTACATTGCAGGACTGTGAGAAAAATTTTTGCAGTGGCGTATTTTGGAGCAATATCCTTAAAATACTGGTGCTTTGACTCGAATCGCATTGCCCATAGCAGGCTCAACGTTCAAAGTTTTTCAGTTTGTGAAATGCAGTGTATGAGAAAATGCACTTTACGTGGAATTTTCGCTGTACGGTTACAAAGCTTTGAAGTTAAGACTGAAGAAATGAATATTTCATTGCAAATAGGCAATAAAGGCAACTGGAAGTTTGTGACTCATGACAATACGAACAATATTTCTAAGAAGTAAGTAAAGCTGCCAAACTGCATTGTCTGAAGTAACTTTCTCACGAACAAGTAAGGTCAGGTTGCGAAATAGGCAAAATGCTTGTGTTGCCGATCCTTTCAATACCGCATCTTCTTGAAGATATGACTTTGAAATGGGGCCTGGTTTCTTAAAGCCACTCTGAAATGCTTTTGTTCTAATCACCAAGCGAAAAGAAAGTTGTTCAATCAATTAAGATCATATATGCTGCAGTGCAAATGGTAAGAATTATGTATATCATGCATTATATCCGATGGAAGATGCACAGTGTCGAATCAAAACCAGGGAAAGAAATAGCACCTGGCTCTCTGACTCCATATAGCGACAAAGTGGGAGCCTTGCACTCAACATACTTAAGTGATGCTTGTGGCTTGGTGGCGATCGAAGCACGAAATTGCTTTCAAAGTGTTTGTACTTTGTTTTGATCCGCACAGCCATGAAGTACTTTCAAATTCTTCCTTGGCCGAATGTACATTTGAAGCCTCCTTCCTGTTCTATGGCTAGATAAATTGTCACTAGTAAAAATGAGAACAGATCTCTCTACAAGGTTTTCATTCACAATTATGCCGTGGTTTGCAAGTGCGTTGACATCGGCAGTTAGTAGCTCAAAAATCTAGGAGGAACCGTAAGTGGCAACATGTTTATCTTTGACAAGGAGCAAGAAGTGAATACCTGACAGAAATGCTTTTCCCTTTTGCTGCCTAGCAGATTGTACATTTTGCACTAATCACTGTATATTTGCAAATAAACTTCGCTGGTATCACTCTCAAAGTATTTGTGATCTTTGAATGGGCTTCCATCGAACACCAAGTAACTATTGCGCTCATTTGACTGTTGTGAACGTTTAGGCATTCGCTTGAGCACATCGCAGAGGGACGTATTCCATGTTGTCAGTTCCATACAACAATACCGTTCGGGATACAAGTGGAAAATGTACCCTCCAGTAAGTTGTACAGCCACATCATGTCCGCAGTTGGTCAAGTTGCACCTTGCAAATAATGCCGCGATCACTTGCCATCCTTATCGCTTTGCTTGTGACGCACGTGGCTAGTGTGTATCTGTGCTCCATCATGAAGGCGTGATCGTAAACTTATCTTCGTGCCGCGTTTTATCAGAAAACGCCCCTCGCGAATAAGCCGAGGGCAGCCGTGGGCACCGGTGTAGTAGTTCGCCAGCTGTATGGCGGTTCACTTGTTTCTTTCGGGCGCAGGTCAGCCCAGTCAAATAAAAGATTGTTGCGGCTTGCTCCCGATCCTATCGTGCACGTTCCTTCATCATCGCGGCTACGTGACAACTGGTGGAGGTGCGGGGTATGCACCAGGTCCCTGAGCCGACAGCTGCACGGAAGGACGAGGCCCCCAAAAGCAGCGACGCGACTCGCAGTAGCCGCCGCCTACAAGGGTTACCACCGGTACCATGAACACTACCGGAGTACACCCGACAAAAAAAAAAAAAGACTCGACGTCAACCATGAGCCTACCAGCTGCGCCCACCCCTGTCATCTTGCAACAGCCTCGAGTGCCTCCAACCTTCCACGGCTCGCCTGCAGAAGATGCAGAAGATTGGCTCGACCAATTCACTCGGGTGGCTTCACTAAACAAATGGGATGACGAGATGAAGGTGAGTCACGTTTTCTTCGCACTCGACGGCCCCGCTAAAACGTGGTTTGAAAACCACGAGGCCTCTTTGACTACGTGGGAGGTGTTCAAGACTGATTTCTTGAGGACGTTTGCCAACATGCTGCGCAAAGAAAGGGCTGAAATTCTGCTACAATCGAGGATTCAAAAGCCTAACGAAACTGTGCCTATATACGTCGAGAAAATGAAGCTCCTCATCCGCCGTGTGGATCTGAACATGGCAGAGGAAAAGCAGGTTGGGCTTCTAATACGAAGAGTAAAAGAGTCCCTTTTTGCTGGCCTAGTTCGCAACCCGCCGAAAACCGTTGCCGAGTTCACGCAAGAGGCATCCATCATTGCGAAGACCTTAGATTCCTGAAACCGCCAGTACAACTGTACAGCGCACATAGCTTCCAGTGGAACCCTCAAGCAACGTTTGCAAGTACCAGCAATTTGCGTGAAATAATACGCGAAGTCGTCCGCGAGGAGCAGCGGCTACTTATACCATCACCCTCGCAGCCTCCAGAAGCGTCACTCACGAATGTCATACGCGACGAAGTTCGCATTGCTTTGGGTGCTTCTCGGACGGCGACTCCATGTCAAGAAAACCAGGGAATAAGTTACGCTGCCGCAGTACGCAGCCCAAGGGGTACCGCCAACATGCGCCGTGAGCATTACGAACCACCCCAGCGATCGCCGTCACCCGTCCACTCACCTGTTTTTTTGGAAGCGCCGCGAAAAGCAGACCTCTGGAGAACCCCCGACCAACAACGCCCACTATGCTTTCACTGCGGCGAGCCAGGCCACATCCTCAGATACTGCCCTTACAAACGTATGGGACTTCGTGGTTTTGCCCTCAACGCACCACGACCGCGACCCGGACAGCGACCACGTGAAGTTGAAGACTACTTGCACCGTGCCGAGTATCCGCCCACCCGTCCATCACGATCACCATCACCGCCATACAGCCGCTACACATCGCCAGGCCGTGGCAACGCGGCGGCAGCGCGAGGAAGGTCCCCGAGCCCTCGTAGGGGAAACTGAGTAAAGCAGTCTTTGGAGGTGAGGTTGCTTGCCGGCGAATAGACGAAGAACCTCCACTGATCATACCGCACGACGACGGTGCCCCAACGAAGACACCACGGCTGCTACGACGACACTTCGCACTAAGCTTGATGGCACGCCCCAACCGCACTTGCAGCAGTCGCAGAAGCCGTGATTCAACACCAAGACTGACGTCCAACTCGAGATCTAGAATCTCCGACCTAGACGTACTTATAGACGGCCGTAGTTTAACAGCACTTATCGACACAGGAGCCGACTTTTCTGTAATAAGCGGAGCTTTCGCAGAGCAACTAAAGAAGGTAATGACTAGATGGGATGGTCCCGTGATCCGCACAGCCGGAGGCTATCTCTTGTTGCCAACGGGACGATGCACAGCACGAGTGACTGTCAGTGGACGTACTTACCCAGCGTGCTTCATAGTCCTGCAGCAGTGTTCCCACGATGTCATCTTGGGCATGGATTTTCTGACCGAACATCGAGGAATCATCGACCTTCAATCAAGACAGATCACACTTTCCACGGGCCAAACCATCCAGTCGAAGACCACCCTAGGGCACCACGCCATCCTGCGTGTTCTAGATGAAGAAGTAAGCATCCCACCAAGGTCAAGCGTCATAATACCAGTGGTTACAGGCAACACCGAGGATGTTGAAGGCGTGATCGAGAGAAACAGGCAGTTCCTCTTAGACCGACAGCTTGGCGTCGCAGAGGCATCGCTTACTTCAAGAATGGACAAGCTGACGTGCTCGTAACCAACTTCGGCAGGGAACACCGACACCTCAACAAAGGCAGCACGATTGGCTTATTAGATGAAGTAGGGGACATTCCAGGCACGTTCGCCATCTCCGACCAATCCCACCAAGACTCGTCAATGCAAAACCAGCCGTCTGTGTTCGACATCAACCCTGAGCTTCCCAGCGACAGGCAAAATCAAATCCGCATTCTCCTAGAAAGCTACGCTCACTGTTTTGCAACCTCGTCCAAGGGGCCGAAAACACCAATTGCCAAGCATCGGATCATAACCAGTGAGCACGCCCGACCTCTCCGCCAAAGCCCGTACCGTGTGTCGCCGCGAGAGCGTGAAGCAATTCGGGAACAAGTGGACGACATGCTTCGCGATGACGTCATTCAACCTTCGAAAATCCCTTGGGCAGCACCAGTCGTTCTCATAAAGAAAAAAGACGGAAGCCTCCGGTTCTGCATCGACTATTGCAGGCTAAACAACATAAAGAAGAAAGATGTCTACCCGCTCCCAAGGATAGACGACACCCTAGACCGACTCTGTCATGCCAAGTACTTCTCGTCCATGGACCTCAAAAGCGGGTATTGGCAGATTGAAATCGACGAAAGGGACAGAGAAAAGACGGCTTTCATCACTCCGGACGGGTTATTCGAGTTTAAGGTCATGCCATTTGGGCTTTGTTCCGCACCGGCAACGTTTCAACGAGTAATGGACACAGTGTTGGCAGGCCTGAAATGGCAAACCTGCCTTGTGTATCTCGACAACGTCGTAGTCTTTGCGGCAACCTTTGACGAACACATGCGAAGACTGAGGGCCGTACTCAATGCAATCAAGTCTTGAGGACTTACCCTAAAGCCTGAGAAGTGCCGCTTTGCATATCATGAGCTGTTATTTCTTGGCCATATCATCAGTCCGGACGGTGTACGACCCGACCCCCAGAAGACATCCGCTATCGAGCATTTTTCGCGGCCAACAGACAAGAAAGTTGTACGAAGGTTCATTGGCTTGTGTGCTTACTGCAAAAGGTTTGTGAGGAATTTTTCATGCATAGCTGAACCTTTGACGAAGCTAACAAAGGCTGATGTACCATTTCAATGGCAAGCGCCGCAAAAAAAAAAAGCCTTTAAGGACCTCCAGCATCGTTTACAGTCCCTTCCCATCCTTTCACGCTTCGACGAAGATGCCCAAACTGAAATTCATATCGACGCAAGCAGCGTGGGCATAGGCGCGGTCCTTGTCCAGAAAAGCAACGGGTTCGAGAAAGTGATCGCATACGCTAGCCGTTCGCTGTCGAACGCGGAGAGTAACTATTCAACTACTGAGAAGGAGCGTCTCGCAATCATTTGGGCGACATCGAAATTCCGTCCTTACATTTACGGACGATCATTCAAGGTTGTGAGTGACCATCACGCCCTCTGCTGGCTTGCAAATTTGAAAGATCCCTCCGGCCGCCTCGCTCGATGGAGTCTTCGTCTCCAGGAATTTGATGCCACCGTAACATACAAGTCTGGGAGGAAGCATTCGGACGCAGACTGCTTGTCGAGGGCCCCTGTCGATGAAGCCCCAAAGAACGACGACGACGATGACAGCTTCCTTGGATCTATCAGTAGCAGCACTTTTGCGAAACAGCAACGGGCGGACCCTGACCTCAAGCGTCTCCATGAATACATGGAAGGCAAAACTTCATCACCCCCTGCATCATTCAAGCGCGGACTCTCATCCTTCTGTTTTCAAAACGGCATCATCGTAAAGAAGAACTTTGCACCCAATAAGACTACGTATCTTATTGTCGTTCCCAGCAACCTTCGAGAAGAAATTCTACAGGCTTCCCACGACGAACCGACTGCTGCACACCTTGGATATGCGCGCACTTTTCGCCGAATCCAAGAGAAATTCTACTGGCCACGACTGCCCACCGACGTCGCGCGGTACGTAAAGACTTGCCGTGAATGCCAACGAAGAAAGAGGCCACCGACCAGGCCAGCCGGGCTGCTGAACCTCATACCACCCCCAGCAAAGCCTTTCGAACAGATTGGAATGGACCTTCTCGGTCCCTTTCCGACATCAACTTCTGGCAATAGAATGATAATCGTAGCAACTGACTACCTCACCCGTTATGCCGAAGCAAAAGCCTTGCCGAACGGAACAGCAGAGGAGGTCGCAAAGTTTTTTGTCAACTGCATCCTGTTGCGACACGGTGCCCCCGAGGTCCTCATCACGGACAGGGGAACAGCGTTCACGGCAGAGCTAATGCAAGCTATCCTGCACCACAGTCAAACCAGCCACCGGAAGACTACTGCGTATCATCCGCAGACAAACGGCCTCGTGGAACGGCTGAACAAAACTATCGCTGACATGCTTGCCATGTATGTCGATGCAGAACACAAAACTTGAGACAGCATCCTTCCATTCCTTGTATTTGACTATAACACTGCAATACAAGAGACCACACGCATGACGCCTTTTAGCCTCGTCTACGGCAGAGAGGCAGCTACAACGTTGGACGCCATGCTCCCAGATGTCACAGAAGAGAACCACAACGTCGCCACCTACCTTCAATGTACCGAACAAGCCCGACAACTTTCACGCCTGCGGATTAAGGAACAGCAGTCCATCGACGCTCGACGCTACAACTTACGCCGCTGCCATACGGAATACAAACCCGGCGACCGCGTGTGGACTTGGACCCCCATTCGCCGCCGAGGACTCAGCGAAAAGTTGTGCCGTTATTTTGGACCTTACAAGGTCATACGTCGTGTTAGTGAACTGGACTATGAAGTTGTCCCCGATGGCACGACGACACCGCAATGGCGCCGCGCTAACCCAGAACTTGTGCATGTCGTGTGCCTTAAACCTTATTACACGCGGTAATAGACCTTATAGTTTGCATAGTCAACTGCGAATTTTGATCTTCCTTTTTGTTCTCGTGTGTTCTTATGACACTGTTCTCGGTTTTCAATGTTTGCTCGTTTAAGCATCGGGCCGATGCTTATTTAAAAGGGGAGTAATGCCGCAATCACTTGCCATCCCTATCGCTTTGCTTGTGACGCACGTGGCTAGTGTGTATCTGCGCTCCTTCTTGAATGCGTGATCCGTGAACTTATCTTCGTGCCGCGTTTTATCGGAAAACGCCCCTCGAGAGTAAGTCGAGGGCAGCCGTGGGCACCGGTGTAGTAGTTCGCTAGCTGTACGGCGGTTCACTTGTTTCTTTCGGGCGTAGGTCAGCCCAGTGAAATAAAAGATTGTTGCGGCTTGCTGCCGATCCTGTCGTGCACGTTCCTTCATCGTCGTGGTTACGTGACAATAGCTTGCATGTTAACGGCTGGCTCGTTGTCAGATGGCATCTGCAGATGGTCTGCGATGCCTTCCACAATATCAATAATCTCGTTGGCAAATTCGTGCACTGTGGATTCGGGCAGCCGCCTTCCTTCTTTCCATTTGAGCTAGAATGCTACCAGTTGATAACCATAGTCGCTTGAAGACCTCACGACCTCGTGCAGTTGGACTGGAACATGGGTCTCTCTTCTTCATTTAGAGGTATGTCAGGTGATGCATTCGTACTTATTTGTGTC